ATAACAAGCAATTCTCCCGAATAAATCAAACTCACATATAACTGCAAAACAATTCACGAATATCCCTTAAATGGCAATTACTTGCAAACCGATATACCAAACCACTGGAAAATAAGTATAAAAAAAATTGAAGAAAAATTATACTTACGAGTGACTGAACAGAACCGAAACTACACGCACGAAATAACCTTTACAAAGAGTAAATATATACGAACTGCACAACAATTTCTAAACATATATGGGACATAAAAAATACAGCAAAAATATCATGGAAAATAAAGAAAGAAGTATCAGCATAAAACAATATATCCAAAAACCTTAAACCTCTGCCTGGAGGAGAAAATAAAAATACTATAATCACCTTCCCAAATCAACACAAATTACGAAATAAAAGATCAGATGTTATGTCAAAATGCAGACATGAAAAAAAAATTATTATTTATACACACTATATACAACAAAGGTAATGAAACATACGTTAGCCAAAGACTAATTTAAACAAATAAGATCGCCAAACACTGAAAAGGATACAAATAATAAAATTAAAAAAATTGAAAAAAAAAATGAAGTAAATAATTAAATTAACAAACTACAATAAATACAGATAAATGTAGTAATAATAATAGTAAACAATGAGTTAAAAATTACAACACAGTATACAGTGGTTATAAATAACTGCATTCGTATCCACAATTAATTATACCCCAAAAATACACCTCTTAGTAAGATCTTCAATAGGAAATCGATTAAAATTAGCTACTCCTGTACCAATAATATGTATAAAATAAATTATCTCTCATAGAAATTTTTTAAAATATAGTTACTATGGGAAAAACAACAAACATTCTTTTGAACCCCCCTGTAGATCTTAAGAAACTTATCCAGTAGAGGCCAAATGCAGATCTACCAGGATTATATATCAAGCAACCATTTCCAGAAAAGAAAATATGAAAAACTATTTTTACATATGAATTTCCGCAGAGGAATGTAAACAGATTTCATACCCAAAGGAACTCATTTACTAACCCTAAATTAAAACACCAGACAGCTCTTTGAAAGAAATTTTGGGAACTGAAAGGGAAAGGTTTGAACCCACAAATAGTTTGGAAGATTATAGGTTCCGCGTATACTCCTAATAGTCTTCAGATATGTGTGACTTATGTTTTAAAAAAAAAAATTAGAATAATAAAATACAATAATCAAAGCCAATTATTGAATCAGAGGAATGAATTAGCGTTAAAATGTCGGCACAATAAATTCAAATTTTCCATAATATAGGTTTTACTTTATTAGCTATTATATTTCTCTTTTCAAATGTCGAATGTATAACTAATTCTAATTTCTATTTTTACATTATATTAATATCTTGTAATTATCACCTTGTTCTAAGAACTCCCTTCCTTTTTATCACATACATCTCTTCATCTATATTTTTAGGGTTGTTTTTTTTAATATAACTTTGTATTTTTAAGTATAATTTTATATTTTTAAATAAAACTTGTTTTTAGATTTGGCGTATTTAAATTAATTTTATTTATTTCATTATATTTTTATTTTTATTTTTAAATATATATTATTTTTTATCTTATTTTTCTATCTAAATATATTTTTATTCTTTAATATATTTTTATTATAATATAACCTATTGATTTTACATTAAATAACTTTTAAATATAATTTTACTTATATTTAATATAAATTATTTAAATGTCACTCATTTTTAAATAATCAAAGTTGACTGAAAGCAAGAAGCCGGAGGAGAGTTCCCCAAGCGAGAGTTGAAATAGAAGAAGCTATATGTATAGAAATTCCAGATACATCCAGCAATTTCAATGGTAATATGACGAGAGCTAGCTGCAAGCCTAGTACAGCGCGTATATTTATCAATGATACAATGAATTTACCCTTTTTTCCCCCAGTTGGCAATTGCATAGAGTGAAGTCATTTATTACCCAAATCTTTTTCGGCAATATAAACTTGCATATGGAATCAAATCAATTCCAAATCCAGAAATGAATAAGAACTGTCGTGTGATGAAAAGTCTTATTGATTGTTGTTTTTTCTCCCTTTCTTGGTCTTCATATATTTACACGAATCGTCAATAGGGACAAGTGACAGCAAATTTTCTCCACGTAATCGGCACTTTTCTCAGTACGTTTTTGTACCAAACACGAGTGCCATCTGGAATTTTTCAGCTTACAAAACTTATATATATATATATATATATATATATATCTCACGTATTATTTCGAACAGTTTCTTTCATCTTGGTTGATGTAGAGATTATTATAGACAACATTTCGAACAAGTACCTTTTTGCCATCCTCAGGTGTACATTGGATGGCTGATATGAGATATCCGTTATTATGATATTCTGTCCCTGTGTGTTGTGTCTATAATGATATCTCTATTAACCAAGATGAAAGAAACTGTTCGAAATAATACAACAATACTGACAATTTTTTTTTCAAGGCAATTCACCACCGTTTTGACAGTGAAAGGAACGGGAACCTGCGAAAGTAGCACGTCGGAAGAGTTGCCGTGAAAATATTTGTAGAAGAGACAGAGGGAGGCCACAGCACGCCTGTGGGAAAGCGATTGTAGGCGAGATGCCAGGTCAGGACCTATCATCTTGCATATTCGTCTCTGGATTTTGCCAAGGACCTCGAGACGTACAGCGTGTGCACCAGACCATATATGACAGCAATATTCCATGCAAGGGCGAATGGTTGATTTATAGATTTGAAGGATCGACTCCGACGGGAAAAGCTCAGATATGAAATACTAAATTATATTTTAATTTTATATTGTATTTTTTTTTATTTTCGAATCAGATGTCACACATTAGAATCAAAATTTAGACTCAGATCTCAAATTGTTTTATTTTTCTTTATAAACTTTCGAATGTTTCCGTTATTAACAAGAAATGGCTGCTATCAGTGCGATGGACATGTTTCTTTTTTTTTTTTTTTTTAAACGACGGATTAATTCAAATAGAAGCATATTGTATAAGTGACGCCATTTATATAACAGTTTCACAAACTTCAGCTGCAACAGAAAAGTATGTATCAACTATTTTATAGGCATCTTCCCATTATTATTATTATTCACTTTGGCCTTTTCTTTCTTCATTATCTCCATCTCTTTCATTTTCTACTTCACCATCCTATTCTTCATCATCATCTTCCCATTATTATTATTATTATTATTCCTCTCTGCCTTTTCCTTCTTTATCCCAATCTTTTTCATTTTCTACTTCACCTTATTATTATTATTATTATTTATTCACCTCTGCCTTTTCCTTCTTTATCCTCATCTTTTTCATTTTCTACTTCACCATCCTATTCAGCATCATCATCATCTTCCGATTATTATTATTATTCACCTCTGCCTTTTCCTTCTTCTTTATCCTCATCTTCTTCATTTTCTACTTCTCCATCCTATTCACCATCATCTTCTTCTTCCCATTATTATTATTATTATTATTCCCCTCTGCCTTTTCCTTCTTTATCCTCATCTTTTTCATTTTCTACTTCACCATCCTATTCTTCATCATCTTCTTCCCATTATTATTATTATTATTATTTATTCACCTCTGCCTTTTCCTTCTTTATCCTCATCTTTTTCATTTTCTACTTCACCATCCTATTCTTCATCATCTTCCCATTATTATTATTCACCTCTGCCTTTTTCTACTTTATCCTCATTTTCTACTTCTCTATCCTATTCATCTTCATTATCGTCTTCCTATTATTATTATTTATGATTATTTTACCTTTTTTTTATACACCGATTTCTCTTAAAACCACTAATCCCTTTATTTTTCTGTTGTCTTTTTGTCTCTCCGACATTTTCTTTCGCCTCTTTGTGTCCCTGTACTCCATCTTTTCCTTTTTCATGGCTAACCGACCTTGAAGTTGTCAATGTTAAATACCCAGAAGCAGACGACAGAACCTAAATACCAACAAAATGTCAAAGAATGAAACCCATTCAGTCATTTCGCTTGTATTCTTGAAGTTGGCCAGGCATGAATTGATTCGCCGATATACAAGTGAACAACAATAAAAATATCCTACGGGAAGACAAAAGTTATTTTTTGTATTGAAAAGTATGACATTTTTACAAGCTTATTTATGTCTGTTACTCAGCTATAACTATGAGCATATTCGTGAAAGTCGAAATCATCGCATGAACGAATTGGTCTGTGAACCATTCTTGCTTCGGCCAGTGTTACCGAAATGGAAAAGATCCTTCCTTAATGTTGAGTAAATAGAATTCCAAATTTAAGTACACTAGTACCGAGTTGTAACTTCGAACAATGTCGTAATCATCAAAACGAAGGCGAAGGGATGCAGTCTATTGGGTTCCATCAGTGTTCTCATTTTCTGTAAGATTACTATATATTTTAAACATTAAGTCTTGTTAAACAGAAAGAAATGGCAGAAAGAAATAATAATGGGAAGAAGAAGATGATGGTGAATAGGATGGAGAAGTAGAAAATGAAGAAGATGAGGATAAAGAAGAAGGAAAAGGCAGAGGGGAATAATAATAATAATAATGGGAAGAAGAAGATGATGGTGAATGGGATGGAGAAGTAGAAAATGAAGAGGAGGATAAAGAACAAAGAAAAGAATCGTGAATAATAATAATAATAATAAAAATATTAATAATAATGGGGAGAAGATGAGGGTGAATAGGATGGAGAATTATAACTTGATGATTGGTTATTTTGTTTTTCTGTAGCGGTATAAAACCTCTATGTCTTATTTAATGCTGAAATCTAAATATTTAAGAAATTTTATTTCACTTTATTAGATAATATTTGTTTTAGTGATACAAGTCTCACAAATTAACCCATAAATGGAGGAAAAGGGGTGAATTAATATCTTTCCCAAGGGTTTTTGCGCGTAACTGAATATAACGAACCCAGATGGAATTGGAACTTGGCTCTCCGGTCAACAATCCCATCCATTATCCTTTACACCAACCGCACATCCAAGCTTACAACGCCTGCTATTCCCAAGCGGTTACCCATCTAGGTACTGATCAGGCTCGACGTTGCTTAACTTTGGTGATTTTACGAGAAACGGTGTCTCAATGTGATCGTAATCGTGAAGATTAGGATGAAGAAGAAGAACAAAAAAACAGACGAATAATAATAATAATGGGGAAAAAAAGATGGCGGCGAATAGGATGGTGAAGCAGAAAATGAAGAAAATGAGAATAAAGCAGAAGGAAAAGGTATATATATGAATAATAATAATAATAATAATAAAGATGGAGGAAAGACTGAGGTAACTACTACTAATAATATTAATCATGGAAATATGATGTGGAATAAAATGGAGAAGTAGAAGATGGAGAAGTAGAAGAAGAAGATAAAGAAGGAAAATGAAAAGGTTAATAATAATAATGGGAGATGGAGGATAAATTGAAAATGAAGATAAAGAAGGAAAAGGTGAATAATAATAATAATGGGAAGAAGAAGAAGATGATGGTGAATTGGATGGAGAAGTAGAAAATGAAGAAGATGAGGATTAAGAAGAAGGAAAAGGCAGAGGGGAATAATAATAATAATAATAATAATGGGAAGAAGAAGATGATGGTGAATAGGATGGAGAAGTAGAAAATGAAGAAGATGAGGATAAAGAAGAAGGAAAAGGCAGAGGTGAATAATAATAATAATAATAATAATGGGAAGAAGAAGATGATGGTGAATAGGATGGAGAAGTAGAAAATGAAGAAGATGAGGATAAAGAAGAAGGAAAAGGTAGAGGGGAATAATAATAATAAAAATAATAATAATAATAATAATAATAATAATAATAAACACTGGTATGAACATCGGCCAGCGCCGGTTACAGAAATAGAAGATGTCACCATTCTATGGGATTATACCATCCACACAGACAGAAAAATTGAAGCAAATAGGCCGGACATTATTGTCAAAAACCAGAAAGAAAAAACTTGCCTACTAATTGATATGGCTTGTCCAGCGGATTGTAACATAGCAACCAAGGAATTTGAAAAACTATCAAAATACAAAGACCTGGAAATTGAAATAGAAAAAATGTGGAAATTGAAAACAAGAATAATACCAGTGGTAATAGGTGCACTTGGAATTATAAAAAATGGAACAAAACAACACATTGAAAGAATCCCTGGAAACCCCAGCTTAAGAGACATACAGAAAATTGTCTTATTAAGTACAGCACACACACTAAGGAGAACTTTGTTTATGTAACGCTAGCAACTTCATCGGAGATAAAAAAAAAAAAAAAAAAAAAAAATTAACATGAAATGTGGCCATAACAACACACCACGACCTGCCTTAGGTCTTTCCGCAGACTTGGTAGGTAGTGTGTCCATAGCAGAAATAATAATAATAATAATAATAATAATAATAATAATAATGGGAAGAAGAAGATGATGGTGAATAAGATGGAGAAGTAGAAAATGAAGAAGATGAGGATAAAGAAGAAGGAAAAGGCAGAGGGGAATAATAATAATAATAATAATAATAATGGAAAGAAGAAGATGATGGTGAATAGGATGGAGAAGTAGAAAATGAAGAAGATGAGGATAAAGGAGGAGGAAAAGGCAGAGGTAAATTATAATAATAAAAATTGGAAGATGATGATGGAGAAAAAGAATGAAGATGTGGATAAAGAAGAAGGAAAAGACGGAGTTGAATAATAATAATAATAACAAAATGATGATGACAAGTGACTAGGAAAAGGCTGCGTGAATTTTCGGATCATAATGAAAACTAAAATGAAATGTCGCAGAATGATGTCAGTTTAACGAGAAAATGGCCGTAGGACGTTCAGGTGAGTGGAAAATTTCAAATCATCAGAAAAGAAGAGAGAAATGAAAAAGAACAGCATTTGAAATAGAGTTACCGCCAAAAGCAAACTAAAATAAAATGTGACCAGCATTATCAGTCTTGTCTATCGGGGTTTTTTTTTTAGGGGGGGGGGCTATCTTGTAGAATAGAAGTAACGCTGTCGCGTTAACATCTTTCTGATCTTAATCTCTTTAAAGATGGGTCACCATCAAGACATCTGTTTCAATATTGATCCTCAGAGTCCCCTGATCTGGTATTCAAGATGAAGAATTCGATACATAGTTAGACGTACAAACAAATACACCTCTTCTTGTTCTTCAATTTGTCCTCTTTAGGATGCTAGCAATTATGGTTCTCCAAAACTTCCTGTCTTTGTAACTTACTACAAAGCCTATTCTGGATTTCATGTACACAAGTTCGTTTGGTAAGTTATGCACAGTTCTCTGTCCGTCTAGCCTTCAATAGATCCGTACAAAATATTTAGATTTCAGCATTAAATAACAAATAGAGGCGGGTATACCGCTAAACAAAATCAAACAACTGATTTTATACGAAGCCAATTTTGACTTCAGTGCAAATAACTCTTTCCCACTGAATATCGAACATGTCTTTTATTTAAGCCGACATTTAGCGAACTGTCAAATGTCGCTCACAGACTACCTAAATCTCGTCTTCATTGAATTCTCTGTGAAGGTGGTATTCCGTCAAGGTTAGCTAGAGACAAATACAGTGTGTCCATAAAGTTCATGTGCACTTTAAAAACTGTATAACAGTATTTGTATTTGCGATAGAAATAATCTGTAAAAAGTGTTATAAAGGTTAACGTACCTAGTTTTAAGTATAGCTAAAATAGCTAATGTGATTTCAGGAATTACTGTAAATTAGTTTGCAAATGTTTTCCGTGAACTGTAATAATTTTCTGCGTAAAAAAGCTCATGAAAAAACTCGCAGTGTACATGAGTATATACCGTAATAATTGACAAGTTTTCATCTCCAAAGTTGGGCAGTATTAAAAATGATATTAAACGAATTTTTATTTTTTAATCACTTCAGCCCAAACAAGGCAGGTAAATCCCACTATGATGCAAATGGTTACTGAGAGAGGAAATAAAAAAAAATACGGATACCAAAAAGAAGGTGACAATTAACGTTGCATTTAATTTTTAAGTCGTATTTGACAGGTAATATATCGGAAGAATGATCTAAAAGCGGAAAGTACGAGAGAAACTCTCAGAATAGAACTTCCGGTTACACTTAGAAATTTCAACAGAAAATTATCCGTCCTCATTTTTAAACTAGTGCTAATATCAAGACTTGCTGCTTGATTTAATGTCGAAAATAAGTCTTACAGAAAAAATAAAAAATACGAGTTGATAGGTCGTGTTTATATCGGAGTCTACAAGTAACCCCTTGGAAGATGGCTCAGATTGTCTAAAACCCTCTTCAGGCAGTCGGCGTATTTTTCAGCCCCACCGATACGTTAACATTGCAAATTATACGGCACATGTAACAAAAATCAACGAAAAGTAAGATTTAAGCATACCAGCCCCAAATAAATTTTTAATTGACAATACTTCATCCAGGAAAGTTGAACAACATTATAAAAATGTGTGTGTGTATATATAATTGTATATATTATATATGCGCAGTACTTATTGGAAAGTGCTCAATATCAGTGATATAGCTAACTTAATATATATATATATATATATATATATATATATATATATATATATATATATATATATATATATATAAAAACACATTTATGTTTAACGTTCTTTTTTATAGATACAAGTATTTAAGTAAATGCTCTGTTTATAATAAACAGTATTAAATAACATTTACCGGCCTGAATGCCCGAGAAATTTTCATAGAAAATATTCGTCCTTTGACAGGATTCGAACCTGCATCCTATACGGAACCGTCATTTACGCTGACGTGCCTTACCGCCTCGGCCACAAAGGAGCGTTAGATTGGCAAGCTCGAATTTACTGCTTATAAACAACCTCATTTTTTATATATATATATATATATATATATATATATATATATATAAAATGAGGTTGTTACATACAGACAAACAAGTAATCAGTACAAAGATGCATATTTGTTTGGGTGCTTAAACGTAAGCATCTCATCAGGAGGTATTGAGCCCTCTTTTAAATTAAAGTTATCAATGTTTGAATTTATATTCTTTTCGTTATATATATATATATATATATAAAAAAATGAAATTCTAATGATAGACTTCCATCAGTGTGGTGAAAGATTCTTAAAACCCCCATCCCAAATTCTGATCAGAGGATCAAGCATCAGAAATGTTTTGGAAGGACTTCTTGCGCCGTTCGAAAGATTTTCCCCACAGCTCACATTGATAGACATGTAATGCATTGACATATTCACAACGTTTCGGTCGTTGTACGCTCCGGCCTTCTTCAGCTGATTGAATTTCGAACCTTACCCTTCATTTCGTCCACCGGATAGAGTGTTCTAGTTCCACGTATCATGCCTCTTCCGAATCTCAGTTATTTGCCTAGATTTTTGGTTCAACACCGCTGTAGCCTGGTATTGAACTCACAACTCTTTGTGTCTAGTCACTGGATCTGACCAACGGCTTTATCCACCGGGTCAATCACCTGAAGAAATGTTGTGAATATGGCAATGAAGAAGAGGATATCAGTCCAAATAATGTAAATAATGTCAGCAATCATAATACCCCATCTCAGAGATATCGACAGATACAGAAACAAGAGATGTAATTTAATAAGCAATCATATTCGTACAATCAGGACTTAGAAAATCCTAATTTAAAAGAAAAAAAAAACATGTGAAATATATTTGGCCGAAAACCTATGTGCCATTAGGTATACTAGGCCCGGGGACCTTTATCGATGGGATGAGTTCGATCTTCACCGGACGCTCCAATTTTGTAGCCTTCTATCATACTAAATAAAGTTTAATAAATTAATATCGGTTGCTATATTGTCGCGAGTAATCTAGTCTTGAAGACTAATGATTACGAGAGTCTGGATAGTCTTGTAAAAATAACAATATATTTGACATTGGTAAGTATCCAAGTAAGCTAAACTGGGAAATATAGAAAATGTATTTGGGGGTAAAAAAAAAAAATTCTGTAAAATTGTTTTTTTTCAAAACACGAGTATTTTTCTTGTCTAGAAATTAACAATAGAAGAGAAATTATAGTCATACACAGAATGGTTACAAAAGGTAACCGTTACTCCAAAAATA